ATTGGAAATCATATAGCAAATTTGATTCGTAGGCGGGTTTGGAGGTATATTTGAGGTATATTTGAAATCTGTCCCAGAATCCCCTTTTGGCCCTATATCCCCTCCTGAGGCAAATAGAATAGTAAATTTTTTTTGAAATATTATTTGGGATTAAAATCAAGCTAGAATGGTTAAATCAAACATTGTAATTCTTAGTATCAAATAGGTTAATTCCTAGTCAAATTCGATATCATCATCTATAATTGAGTTAAAATTAGCTAGAAGCTTAAATTCTATAGTTGATTTATATAGCTAAAATTGATTCGTAGGGGTCAGAAAACCTTTCTGAATATCTTTTGGATTTTTGTTTCAGAAACTCTATTTTTGCCCTACTAATCATATAACTGAATTGGCTGAATGTTAATCAAAAGGTATTAGTGCTAAAAGAAATGATTTTGACTAGTATTACTTTCTATTACAATACTAATATTTATATAAGTCCTATTATTATAATTGCAAAAGGTAATAAATTCATTCTAATTTCTCTTATTAGATACTTTTAGAAAGATAAAAATAGAACTTGCTTATACTTGTAAGTTCTTTTTTGTCTTATATAAACTATTACAGTTCATAAAAATTAAGATTTAATATTATAAAATGTTATAAAAGATTTTGAAAAAAAAGTGTAAACTATTGATCTTTATTTTGTGACTATATCTTAAATTTATATTCTTAAAAACTTTTTTTAGACTATTTTCATTTGAGAGACGTCAGTTTATTAAGGTTTATAAGAGATTGCAAGAGAGACTAACAGAAAAAAACATTTAATGTTTATAATTTTTCAAATTGTATTTAAATAAAGTTTATATTTTTTAAAAAAATAAAATGCTATATAAACTTTTTATTATATATTACTATTGATCTATAATATAAATTAAGTCTGAATTAAGTTTATATAAAAAAATATATAAACTTTTTAACTGATAAATTTGATAAATTATGTATTACTACCAATCTATAACATAAAATAGAACATTTTAGATATTCTAACAGTTCTTATTTCCTAATTAATTTTGATTATTAATATAATTTGTATTTATATTAATCAATAAATTATTGTCTGAAGTATAGTAAAGGATATTTACTTCTAGACCATTTCAATGCAAGGTCATTCTATTTATCCAAATCTGGCAAGCCTGATAAACCAATAATATTTTGTTTATGTTATCATGTGTTATATCTTTTATGTTACAAAATAATTAATCATATGAAATATAATATTATAATTTTTTATATACCATGCTTTAGACTTTGAACAGATCCCGTTCCCTAGTTTAAAGGAAACCTAAATTCAATAATATTGTTATAATGTATTTGATAAAGTTGATCACTAACTTTTAAATAACTAAATATATAAAATGTTTATTTTACTTTAGTTTTTCATATGTAAGCTTAGTAAAATCATGCTAGTATGTTTTTGGGCTTAAGTCTCTACAAGAAAGTAATCTTTTTTTTTAAAAAAATATAACTAATTAGCATTCAAATCATTCAAATATAATAAAATTTGAAAATAATATTTTTTTTATAATAATTGACATAGAAAAATATATATATAACGCCTTTTGGTTTATTTTTTGAAAATACATTATATTAGCCATAGAATGATATATTACCTAATAGAAATAATTGTAAGAAAAATGCAAATATTTTATAGCCTATTTTTTATATGTTTTATTATAAAATTTTGATCGGACGTTTATTTGACAAAAAAAATAAGTCACGGGATTTTATAATTTGGTGATGATCAGATTGAGTCAACAATGGACCGTCATATGATCGGATCGAGGATCTATTATAGACCGTCTCCCTGAGACCTTAGCTGTGCAACCACTCCCTCTTTTACACGTATCTGTTACGCGACTAAATACTTTAATCATTTTTCTTGCAAATTTAGTTTGGTCTGGTCTTTAAAACATTTTCTTCCTACATTGCTTTTTGCTATAATCACGACGTATACCTTTCACGCCTTTTACCAATGTTTAAATGAAATTAGCAGATTCAAGTTCTCCTAAAGTTTGTAACAAGGTTTATAAGCTTTAAGCATAGAGAGATTAGTTGATTTTGTATAAATATGAACTGTATGGAGGCTACTTGCGCCCCTCGAAGGGTGCGTCCTGCCGAGGGTGGGCTCTGCATCCTCTGTAAGTTGCCAAGGTAATTTTTTTACCAGGCTCTTCGCTCTTTGTTGGGTGCGTCCTCGCGGAGAGGTGAGGCCCTGCAACTCTGTCAAGTCGCCGATTAGATGTGGACCATCAACGCAACTTTTTTGATAAGGTCTACGAATCCCGAAGCAGTGATTTGTTATGCACCTTCCTTTATACACACAATTAAGTTGGACAGTTGATGTGTTCACGTCTGACCATCTTCCCCTATTTTATGACTGATTATATTATCTGAGGTATTTTTCTCATTCGCCCTTTTTTTTACAAAGTTTGATACTAAGATGGTAAGTAAAATGTGGTTAACAAACGAACGGCAGACCTTGCTTCATCGTCAAAAAAGAGGAATCTGATAGATAAACAGATGATACTACATATCTAATCAACAAAAATCGGCAGTTGGCGAACAAGAATTATCGCGTAAGATCAAATTCAAAGTTAAGACGTAGAGTTATTATTAGTGCTTATTTTTATTTTGTCATTTTATAGATTTATAATTTCAATAACGCGGTCCGAAGTTTATAAGAGTATAAACTTTAAACAAGTTACATTAGAATACTTCCTTCGTTCAGCTAATAAACTATTAAAATCTCAAATCGATCTAAATACAAAACCGAAATCGTCCGATAACAGACTGAAGCTTAACATGTGAGGGTTACAGTTCCTTCCCAAGAATCAAATACCAATGAAAAAAGGTTATAAGGAAACCTAGGACACTAAAAAAGAAAGATCTCGATTCGCAAGAGAATCGGATGTTGAATTTATCGTAATCAAAATTAATTTTTTTTGTTTTTGTTTTTTTTTGTATTTGTATTTGTATTAAAAAAAATCAACACCTTTATTAAATATAAAAATTATATAGCCCTCTATTAGATTAAAGTCAAGTAGCATATAAGAAATAAGTTAATGAATTCAAGTCAGATCTAGTAACATATAAGGAACAAAAAGGCAGCGGAAGTAGCATCATCAAGCTTAAGTCGCAACAGAAGATGGACAAATTGTATCAGATAAATACGAAATCGAATTTTTATAAGATGCAATTTCTTTATATTATGCTGCGTTGATAATCAACCAAGCCGAGAAGCTATTGATAGAGTTTTTGTGGATTTTGACAATACAATAGCTACGTAAAAAATCTTCTTGGCAAAAAACCTGTTAAGACATTATTTATATAAATGAGCGCAGTAGAAGATTTAATAAAAATTGGTAGATTTTATGATAAATATATATGAACGTAATACCGCGTAAGTATTATTTAAAAATTCGGTGATGAGATTTTTTTTCGAGAGAGGTGTTTTTATTTATCATCATTTTTTCTTTCCTAAATATCATATTTAGGACATCGGAATTGCGTACTTACTTTTATGTTTACACCTAATTTATAATTGGGAGTGAAATAATATTGATTGTGAATAGGATTAGCAACATTCTAGCAAATTTTCTTTCTCTTTTATAACTATAAGATAAGATAAAACTTTTGTAATTTAATCATACATTTATCTTTTTAATAGCTAATAAATATTTAAAGAAAATTTTATTTTATGACTTATTCTGTATTTAATAAATACAATATATCTTATATAATACTTGTGTAATCGCTAATCTTTATATAAATTATCTTTTATTTATATTTTATGAAATTATAAAATAATATCAGTCTGATATTTAAAATTCTTTTTCCTAGCAAAAACTAGTTACTAAAAAAAAAAAATTAAAAATTTTATTTAGTATTAAAAATATTATAAAATCATATTATAATTATATAATTATGTTATATATTAATTTTAATAAAATGGACCTGCAATTACTAGCTTGCAGAATTTTAAATATAAGAATTTATATATAGTATATAAATCTGCAACTAGTTGCAATCAGTTGCAGATTTTTCAAATCAGTTGTAATACCATCTTTAATTAAGAGTATAAAGAATATGAAGCATTTAAAATGCTTAAGATATGATTCTACAAGTTCAATTAATATATATACTTATTTTATATGATATTCTATCTTAATTAGGGTTCTGCAAAATCAAATCAAATCAAATCAAATATTTGATGAATCAAATCAAATCAAATCAATCAAATTGAATCAAAATGATTAAATATATATATATATATTTTTAAGACGCAGTGAAACATTTATTTATTAAAAAACATTTTCATAATATAAATTAAAGAAAATCCCAAAATGGGTACATAAAGTAAAAAATAAAGTAAATGCTATCTAGCCTTCATCAAAAGCATAATGCCTTCTTCAACCAAACCAAATGGTCATTTAATTTAAAAAAATTAATTAAATTCACATTATAAAAATTTTTTTTAGTTAAATTTTTTTATATTTTTATTTTTATATTTAATAACACTTACACAATTAGAACTTTATATTTTTTTTTCAAAAAGAAAAAGCACTATTATTCCAATACTCTTTTTTTTATTATTATTAACCATTATTATTTCTCAAATTATACAAAAAATTTATATATAAAAAAAAAATTAAAACATATCAAACTTTAGCCAACTTTTAAGACATATTATCGCACGAATTGTATCATTTTCAAGTCTATTACATTCTGGTATAATTATATTACCACTTTGACTAAATAATCATTCTACAAACATACTAATAAACAGTATAAATAATCACGCGATATCATAGATAATGCTGGATAATTAATTTTGTGATTTTTTCACCATTTTAATACATTTATAAATAGTTCGTCATGTCCATTATTATTTCAAAAGCGTTTAGAAATAGAAAATAAAGAATCTTCATCATTGCTATCCTCATTATAATCAAAAACAGCAAGTATCGAAGTTGGAAAGTAAATAGAACAATACTTATCAAATTTACCTACAAATCTAATTTTAATAATAAAAATTTTTTAATATTTATAATTTATCCAATTTCTATAGTAAAATTAGTTTACTTATAAATTTTTTGCTTTTCTATAAAATATATTATCATCTTTTCTATCCAGCTTCGAAAATATTCAAGCTTTTATCATGAATCAATAATCGTAAAAATGTAATATACTGATTCAGAAGTTTTATTATAATATTTACTAAGCTTATTCTATGTCACCTTTGCAGTTACAACTAAGGATTTTGAAGATTTTCTATTCTTCATTATTTTTTCAGCATAGTCCATTAAATGATTATATATGAAATAAACTAAACTTATAGTAGGATAAGTCGATGCACATATTTCAGTTGAAATTCTTGCAAATCACTTTAAAAAAATTACAATTTTCTTAAGAGATTTCCAATCTGATTGAGTAAAGCTAATATCTTTGATGAATGAAAATTCATCAGTTAAAATGATCTTATCAAAAACCTAATTATATAAAATATTTAATTAATTATATATAAATCTTTAATAATTTAAATTTAATTAAAGTACTAACCACTTTCAAATCTAAAGCGCGTTTAATCATTTCATATGTAAAATTCTAACGAGTCAAAACGTCTAAAATCAGAGACAGATTTTTAATGCCATTAAGATTTAAAATTTCTTAGAATTTTTATCTTCGTTAGGAAGAAGAATAATGTTTAATAATAATATTTCTGATTCAATCTATTTCACATTTAAGTTCTTTTAAAGCATATTAAACTGCAAGGTTCAAAATATAAGCAAAATATCGAATGTGATTATTTTTAACTGAAAAAGTAATATTATTTTCTAATGCCTAAAAGCTAAGCCGTATAAATGTCATATCATTATTTGGAGTAATACAATTAATCTATAAAATTAATTATATGTATAATTTCTATTTGTGATACAAAATCAAAACAAACGTATGTTAATAGTTTCACAAACTTTTGTAGAAATCTTATATGTATCTAATATATCAATTAACTTTTTAGCTATGTATTCACCAGAATGAATACCTTCTAACTCATTAAAGTCAAGTGTAAGCTCTTAAAGATTCCATAATTTATCAATAAAGTAATTGTATGCTTTAATTACTACAAAATTCTAAAGGTCCAAAGAAAATAATATTATGCCTGGAGTTTCTGCTATATATTTTTGAATATGACTTTGAAATTCGACAAACTCTCACATTATATTTCTCTTTATTGTATCAGAGAATACAATTGTAAATTCAGTAGCCTTTTCCAACACATTTTTGATTCTTTCTTCAATAATTGAAAATGTGTAATCTTCAAGGATAATCTATTCTCGTAAAGATTTCATAAACTACTTTCTGTAATTGGCTAATAATAAAATTATAATTAATTATTATATATATAATATATTTATTTCTTTAAAAATAAAATGTTAATATATGATTTACTTACATCATTAGTTATATTCGAACATTGTTCGATTGTATACTGATTAGTTGGTATACCAATTAGAGACTTATACACTTTTTTCATGTAAGCACAAAGGTTTGAAGTTGCACCACTATTAACTGAGTAAATTACATTTCTACAAGTATTACATTTTGCGATAATTTTGTTGTTTTTTTCTTTCAAAAAAAATTTCCAAATATTTGACTTTGATGAAAAAGGAGAAGGAGGAGGTAAGATTTCTTTATGCTCATGATCAACTTCATTTTTTGTATCATTCATATTTATAAAAAATAAGAACAATAGAAAAGGTCTTGTGGCTAAATTTTTGGGTTATGGGAATAGCTTAGTGAGAACAGTTTAGTAAGAATAGCTTAGTAAGAACAGCTTAGTAAGAACAGCTTAGTGTGATCAAAATTTTGGAAGCTTAGTGAGATTGTGTGGTCAAAATTTTAGGTTGAAGAAACAAGGCTAAGAAAAATTCTAACATTATTTTTCTCAGAAAAAAAAATATGATAGATAATCAAGAAACATTCCTAATGTTTTTAGGTTTTATGATACTCTCAAACTTGATTTTATTGAATTAGCAAAAATCAAGTTTAAGAAAATTTCCTATTAAAACTCAGCTTTACATTAACATTATCTGATCTTTACATGATTTTTCCATTGTTTTCTATTGTTTAAACCTAATCAGTATCAAACTTATCCTGATTAAAATTTGATCATTTCTGATCAATTTAATTTCAAAAATATGGTATAATAACATATTACAATTAAAATTAGCGAAATTTTTGAGTTTTAATCAAATCTGACATATTAATATAATAAATTAAATTAAG